GGCGGTTTACGAGCACTCGCTCAAACAACTTACCGACCTCGTCCAGAAGGCATATTGGCCTATACGCCGACGGGAGAGAGGCGTCTTTCCCCTCCTTCGGGAGGAGTACCAGCGTGGCACTCCTCCACCGCGGGGGGAAGACTCCTCTCCTCAGGCACGCGCTGTACAGGCGCGCGTATTCCTCCGCGAGGACATTCATTGCCAGGGCGTGGATCCGCTTGTGGAGGCCGTCAGATCCCGGGGCTGTGTTGCCCTTGCGGCCCTTAGCGACGGCTCTCCGGAGTTCTTCCGGCTGGACGTCCAGGGAATCGTCGCAGTCGGGGGAGTCTTCCCCCGGCTCGAAGGGTGGGCCCCCGTCCTCCCCGACAATATCGGGGAAGAGGGCCTGCACCACCCTCCGGACGAAACCCCCGTCTAGCCGCTCCGTCAGCGGGGGCGCCCATGGTCTCAACTTGTTGAGTACCATTTTATATGGACGCCCCCACGGATCTTCCTGAAGGGAGTCGAGGAACTCCGTCCACGCCCTGCCCTTTGCCACCCTGATGGCCTTCCTGAGGGCCACTTTGGCCTCAAAGTAGCCCTCTCTAGCTCGTTCGGCCGCCTGCTCGCCTCTGCGCCTGCAGCGGGCGAGTCTCCTCTGCTGGTGGACGGCTCGTCGTCACAAATCTGCGATCTCTGCCTCCACCAGTAGACGGCCCGCCGAGGCCGAGTCTTGGACCGGGGCATCGCGGCATCACATGCCGCTGTAAGCGTTGTCCCGATCCACTCGGCCTCTTGCAGGGGGTCCGTCTCCCGGGTCTCGGGGAAACTTCCCCGGACCCAACAGGCGGCCATCAGGGCGTCCTCGCGGAGTTTCCGCAGGGCCCATCGCGATCGCGTCTCTTGGCGACGCACGGAGGAGAGGGCACCGAACTCCACCGATATATATCGGTGGTCCGACAGAGTTTCGATGCCCTCCTCCACCCTCCACCTGGTGATCAAGCGCATGGCCGAGGGGGTAGCCCATGTGATATCCACAATGGACTCCCCCTGCGTCCGCACGCAGGTGGGGGTCCGGCCCTCGTTCACGAGGACTGGTGTCCGTGCATCGCCGCCCATCTCGCCAGCGCCTTGCCCCTCCCGTTCGTGCGCCGGGAACCCCAATTCGTATGCCACGCATTGAAGTCCCCGGCCACGAGGACCAGCCTCGGACTCAGGCGTATGAGCGTCTGCCCAATGTCCGAAAGCCAGCCCTCAAAGGGGGGAGGCGTCTGGTGGGCCTTAAATAGGCCCCACGACCGCGACGCGGCCCCATTGCACAGCGACGCGGCGACGCACAGTGGTGCGAAACCACCAAAAAGTGGCAAAAACCCCTTATCATTGAAATAATCGCTTGAAACTTGGTATACCCATGTTTTTTGGACCGCTGAATTAAAAAATAAAGTCATTTTAGGTTTTAAAAAATGCACTGAGCTTTTTTCACACAATGTTAGTAATTTTATTCATTTTTAATAGTTGGGAAGGAAGTTAAAGGGGAAGAACACATAATACTGATAATAGTTAATAGAAAATGTTATTATATTGTATCTACTCATGAACGACTTTTTGAACATAAAAAATATTTTAGTTAAAAAAAATATTTAATTTCAAAAAATTAAAAACAGTCTAATCTGAAAACACAAATGATACAATTTCATAATAGGGCTACCATTTTCGAGCATAATAATATAATAATAATAATATGGTGAAAATTTTTGCTAATAAGAATTAATAATAAACAATAATAGTATATAACAATAAAAATAATAGTCAAATACCAATTTTTTGTGATACATTTGATGTTGATGTCAACGATCCAATCACCCCACTTCTACAGCAAAAGATTTTTCGCTTCATCACTGAGCGGAAGTATCTTATATTGAGGTTCAGGCCTCAGGCGAGTTATGAATGGATCTGAAGATATCAACATCCAATGCATCACATCCTCGTTTGTTTCAACTCTAGACATTTTCCTAGTATGGTAACATCTAATAAATTTATAGTCTTTGTTTCGGCTTTCCTGAGCTTCTTCCGAAAATGTGCCAATAGGAAACACAGCATTTTGAATAATATCCTTTCCATGCATAAGAATTTTATGCACTGTAGCTGGCATGTAGTACCACGGATAGAGGGATATCGCAAGATCAGCTGTCGCCTTTGCATAGTGTTGTGCCCCGATTGCCGAAAGAGGTAACGAGGGCACTCAAGCAGTATTACTGCAATTAGAATAACACTAGCGTAAGCATATTGCGCGATCGAGCCACAGAAGCCCGACCGCGCAACCCAATTAAATTCGGAGAAGAAGTCAGCAAGTTCTCGACCCGATTACGCATAGCCTCGATCGAGTACCGAGAAACCTCGATCGAGCACCGAGAACGCTGACGCCTCGATCATCGGGTTTAAAACCAGAGGAAAGCCCGAGATCGGGGCACTTGTCAATCACGCGTCATTCGATACTATACGTTTACGCGATAAGCATTTGTCCGTCAGGCCTTCGGCCTGCCGTAAACCATCAGTGTAACACTCAGTTGAATAAAGCTACATAGTGATAGTTAAACGGCGCCTTTTTGGAGTGACCTCCGACCAGCCACATCCCATCAAAGAACCCTTCGGTTCTCGTCAGAGAACACCTCCGGAGCGAGCAAGAAGGAACATACACCGCGCACGGAGCGGCGCGGCAACAAAAGTGGTGGCAGCGGTACTAGGATTGTGAACTGAGTCGAGAACACTGCCTCAGAGGACCAAGAAACAGCGGTACTGGGATTGTGAACTGAGTCGAGAACACTGCCTCAGAGGACCAAGAAACAGCGGTACTGGGATCGTGAACATCTGAGTCGAAAACACTGCCTCAGAGGACCAAGGAACAGCTGAGCAAAGACAACGAGGACTAACGGAGGACTGCGAACAACACGGACACCCGGTAGCAGCCGACGGTAGCAGCCGACGAGCGATAACGCCGAGGGAAACCGGAGAAGCAGCCCTGACCAGCCTCAACCAGACGACACCCGAGCGGCACTGAACTACGACAGCAGGATTAACCGAGAAATCAACATGCGTCTAATGTAAGTCGAATTAAGACTATTGTAAAAGCGAGCG